AACCCCTAAACCCTAAACCCACCTAAGCTCCTTAAGAAGAAACCCAGGAGTTGACGAGTTGGGAGTCTCCCGACCCGAACTTCTGGGTCTCCGCCGGCTACACGCTGGTGAACTTGAATCTCCCCGGCTACGCCAACAGCGGGGGTGCAGCGCGCATCTGGGACTTGAAGCTAAGTTTGCAGGGTCTAGGGTTTAGGGTTTAGGGTTTAGGGCTTTTTGCTGTAGACCCCCGATTGTCGTAGCTTGAAGTTTCTTTCCTCGGCAGCAACCCAGGAATCATTTCGACGAAGCAGGGCCGTGACTATCGCGAGGCAATCGAATGGGTCGGCCAGCAAGATTGGTGCACAGGCTCCGTGGGTCTGCTTTTGGGACCTTGTTTGATATAATTTTTTACATTTTTGTTATAACAAAACCCCCAATAAGGATTCAAAAAATGAAGATTTTCAATGTAGTCCCCCAAGACGGAACCAGGCTTGGTGTCAGTTACCTGGCGATCAGCCAGTACTTTGCAGCCGTGGAAGGCTCCGCGAAGGAAGGCTCCGCTCTGAAATGTATGGTGCCCTGGGAAGGCCTGACGGATATGTACCGTGATGTGGCATGCCCAGGAGGAGTGAACGGGACAGGCTTCCTGAACTTCTGGTGGAATACCGAGGTAAAGGAGGCTCTGAATCAAAGCGTGGCGGAGTTCATTGCAAACGAAGGCGGCATACCCCCGGAGTTGATAAGCAAGCACCCATTGATGGATCAGTATTGGGCGGACAAGGCGGTGGAGCTTGAGAGGATTGATATACCGATGCTTGTATGCGGGTCTTTTTCAGATCACGAGCTGCATACACGAGGCTCTCACCGGGCTTTCAGTCGAGTGAGCTCAGAAAAGAAGTGGCTTTACACCCACAGAGGTGGGAAGTGGTCTGAGTTTTACTCCCCGTCTGTGCAGGAGCTTGTGAGGGACTTCATGGACCATTTTCTGAAGGGTCAATCGAACCGCTTTGAATCCTTACCACCAGTGCGCCTCGAGATCCGGAGTAGCCGTGAAGAGGTGCGCGATGTCAGGTGGCTGGTTCTCCAAACTAGGTTTCCTTTTGGGTCAAACTATCGGGTGCCGTAGTAAGAGTAGGATGAAAATAGGGGTCCTCCGAAGGGCCATGATTTTTGACAGATACCCAGGTGGGAGCATGAGTGGCCTTTGGCCAGGACTGACTACAAGTTGTTGCACTTGAGCGAGCAGGGTCTCGCCCCTGAGGCACCGGCCGAGTCTGAGCACTGCTATGACGGTCAGCACGGCCGGGCAGAGTTCAAATATACCTTCACTCAGGACACCGAAGTGAGCGGTTTCATGAACTTGCGTCTATGGGTCGAGGCACGCCCATCTTCCACACACCCCGCCTGTCCGGATGACATCATACTCTGTGTGGTCGTAGACAAACTCGACAGTGACGGCCAGCAGGTGCGGTTCAACGGAACTGTTGGCATCCAGGATGATGTGGTCAGTCGAGGCTATCTGCGGGTCTCGCGCCGGGAAATCGATGCCAGCATCTCGACGGACTGGTGGAAGGAACCGAAAGGCAGCGTAGTTCAGCCCCTCGAGAGTGGACAGGTTGTGCCGATTGAGATCACACTGTGCCCGACGGCGACTTTCTTTTGTGCCGGTGAGGGCATGCGCCTGGTGGTTTCATCCTTCGAGACCTGCCCATCGCCCATCTTCACAAAGGATCTCACCAGCAACAATGGGCTCCACGTACTCCATATGGGGGGGCGCTTCGACTCAACTCTCAGCGTCCCTGTCATTCCCATCAAAGAAGCTTGAAAAGCGGGGCGGCGGTGCATCCGCACCCTGCAGTGCCTGGGCTTTCTCTCTCTTTCTGCCTGTCTGTGCCGGGGCTTTGATTTCCCGGTGGGGTTTTCAGTCCATGTGCCTTGAAAGACACGCGGCCTTCCCACCTAAGCCCGACTCCTGTCTTTGACAGTTTCTTTCGAGCATGGCATGCCCGACGAAAAGGTACCAACAGTTTTTCAGGTCGAGTTTCGGGTGTCAGACTTGGCGTCTTGCAACGTTAAGCATGTAGCTGGGAGTAGATGACGTCGCGGGATGCATATTTAAAGCCTACACCTATCATGGGATAAGTTGGGATCGTCGATGGGAGTGGTCCTCTTTTTGTACCTTTTGGTGTTGTGACCCCTCCAAGCTTCTGGCTACACATCCCTTTTAGTTGGAACTATGGTTGATGATATAAATCCTGCACTACCTTAAGGACCCTAAACTATGGGAATTATGGTATATTCCTTATTATGAGTAATGCAGGATTTATATCAGCAACCGTATGGTACTGCATTTACAACCCTCCCCATGTCCCAGACACTAGGTTGCCCCACCCTCCCAGCAGTGATCCTGTTTGCATGATCCTCAAGTCACGGAAACGGAGTTCAGAATCAGCCTCTACGGCGGCCATGTGCCACGTGCCTTTGTCAACTTCAGACTGAAACTCTGGTAAGCCAACCTACGAAACCAGCTTTGAAACCTGAGACTTTCCACCCCCCCCCCCC